GGTTTTAGAAATCCCTGTGTCAAACTCCCCTCATGATAATAACAGTTCAAGGGCAAAAACAGAGTGATAAAGAACAGCATTCTTTACTGAAGGCAAAAACATTTACTTCTGAGTTTAGTGGCTGCCAAGAATTGTTCTATTATTACACTTAATTGTAGCTTCTGGAAAGAACCACGGTATTAGGGCTCATTCAAGTACACTTGAGGTGCTTAAAAATGCACTAACACCAGCTGCAACGAGTTGATGACCAATTGATAATGAAAGAGCTACTCCCAAACTTAAAGGGTGACCTTTGAGGTGGTTTTCCCTTTGTGATAAATATAAATGGTGAATCTTCTAATTAAACATGGCCAGCGTTTCAAATAACGAGGTTTGGTATGTAAGAGTAATCCCTATAAAGCAGAAGCTCAGGCTCCAGGCTGCTATAAACACTCAGAGTGGTTCTCTTGGAGATCTGTACTGATGTTGAAGAGAGTGGATACCTGTTATCGGATCATCTGAGGCAGTGTTTCCCAACCACTTAAAAATGATGAGGTGTGCTGTGGAAGATTATTTGGTTCCACCTGATTAGTACTCTAAGCGATCAGCGTGAGTAACGGGCAGAACAATTACATTCTTCCTCTAGAGGGCAGTACAACGATCTGCTCTAAGTGGCTTGCCAACCGCCAGCAAAACATAAGACGACGGAGAACAAATGGCATAATAGTCATGCTGTGAACGCGGCGCTTAACAGCAACAGATAAATATTTGAAAAGAGAAAGTACCCGGGTCCTGGAGGAAATTTAACCCAGATGAAGGCCCTAGCCTGAGTAGTAGTCCAAAAAAATATATATTATAAAAAATTATAAAAAAAATATTTCTGCAACTATTGAATCCTAAAAAATAATCCTTTGAAATAAAAATTTGGTTGTACACTAACCAGCCACAATATTAAAGCCACAAAGTCTCATTTCCCACTAATCCTTGTTTTGGGAAAACCTTGGGTCCTGGCATTCATCTCAGAATGACGCTGATAGGCACTTACCCACCCAAATATTACTGCAGACCAAGCACACCTCTCATGGAAAGGGTACTCTGACAAGAGGAGGAGAAGAAGCAGCAAAAACTGCCCGAGGAACACGACAAAGAGACAGAGTCCAGTTCCACTAAGCATCTTCAGGATGAACTAGATTAAAACGCGGATCTACGGAGACCCCAACGCTCGACCCACAGGACCCAGAGGATAAGCTGCCAACCTCTCAGATACCGCAGGACAACCTCATGTCCATGTTCCAATGGTTCAGAGTTGTTTTAGTGGCACGAAGCAGCCCTAAACAATAGATAGCAGGTAGTTTTAATGTTGTGGCTTATTAGTATATCACTTAATACACAGAGTGGGCAGAAATGCCAGATTAGCGATCAGATCAGATACAAACACAAAAACTGGACCGGATATCTGTGATAAAGAGCCAATCCATCCAACCAGCTCTATGCTCCTCTATTTATCCTGTGGCTTGGTCTCATTTATTCATTTGCTCATTTAGGAAAAAAGAAAACAAAAAAACCCCCGAACAAACAAAACAAAAACAACAACTTAGTAAATTTACTTGTTCAAGGGGAGCCTGGATCCGTGTTAAAAATAAGAAGAGATACAATCAATACCAGTGTTAATTATCCGTTTTCCTAACTGTGAGGAAGAGGCTGTAGCAGGCGATACAGCCAGCATATCAGATCGGAACTACAAACACTTGATTGGTGCATCCCTGGTAAGCGTGACTCTTATAAATGGTAAATGGCCTGTATTTATATGGCGCTTTTACTAATCCCTAAGGACCCTAAAGCGCTTTACATATCCAGTCATCCACCCATTCACACACTGGTGATGGCAAGCTACATTGTAGCCACAGCCACCCTGGGGCGCACTGACAGAGGCAAGGCTGCCGGACACTGGCGCCACCGGGCCCTCTGACCACCACCAGTAGGCAACGGGTGAAGTGTCTTGCCCAACAACACAACGACCGAGACTGTCCAAGCCGGGGCTCGAACTGGCAACCTTCCGATTACAAGGCGAACTCCCAACTCTTGAGCCACAATAAGTTTAAAAGAGAACAAGCAATGCTGTAGTATGTGTATTGTGCACACAAATATACTTCAACATTTTTATTTGTGGATTCTAGACGACCGAGCTTAAAGACTTAAATTTGCTGGCTGATGTGCAACAGTCAGCAATGTGTAAACGTTGCTGCATATGAATGAAAAACAATTCCACTCAACATATTCTTCTAATCATCAGTATCCTGCTGGCAGGTAGCATTAAATTAATGCAGCCTGTGAGTCTGTGATCATGGTATTATGATGAATCAGTCATCGACACTGTTGTTCTTCGCCATCGGATCCTGGCAGAAGAAAAGAGAGTAAAGCAAAACCTTGGCAAGTGGCTGCAAGCTGCATATCGGTGCTGTGTGCTCGGTTGTTGGCTGACACATAAAATAAAATGTGAAACAGGATTTAATGGCAGCTGGAGTTGAAACACTGATGTGAACTCTGATTTGCATTCTTGAGCTTTAGCAGAGTTCTGTCCCAACCATACCCAACAGGAAACCCGATATAACCGTGGCCTTGTGTCTGTGAATCTCATCGCATTTATGTTTTACACTCAACAATTACAAGTTGTGCCACTTAGTTGTATGCATCTCCTCTAAAAGACCTTTAATTATTTCTAATTCTAATCCTAAAACTCATCGAGTTTCAGTAACGACAGCTGTTCACAGGTATACTCACAGTGAGGTTGTCCCTTAGTAGCTGCATGATCAGCGTGCTGTCTTTGTACGAGTCCTCGTTCAAGGTGTCGAGCTCGGCGATTGCCTCATCGAAAGCCTGCAGGGAGAAGTTCACTGGTTAATTTCCTTCTGAAAACTTGTTTTCACTGAGACAAGCTTAAAAAACATGTATGAGTTACAGCTATATGAAAGATATAGCATATCCAAATTGAGGACAGCTCTTTAATATTAGCTCCAATAAATCTCACTGGACCAAATGGAACTTGACTCAAAGGTGTTTCATGGACAGGTGTGAGCCATTTCTCTGATGCTTCTTAGATCCATTAAGTAAAACATCTGCAGTTGCAAAGTGTGATATTTGGAAGCTGTTGCTATGAACCAACAACGTGCTGAAAGCAGCTGTCAAAATAAACAAATCCACTGAAAGATAGCTGGGACACAAACGTAAAGAAATTGATCACAACCATGGTGGATGATCACAGGATCGTTTCAATCATTTCAATAGCAAAAACACCTTTCACACCAAAAAGCCAACTATAGAAAACTCTCCAGAAGGTAGACATTTCATTATCCCAGTCAAAAAATAAGGAAAAGACTACAAAGGAGAAAATACAGAGGTTTGTAAACCATTGCCCTGTAGAGTACAGGAAGCACACACCCAGCCGCAGATATCGTGGACGAGTGGTTGTTTTTGTTATTTAAAGTTCACTTGAAGCCTGCTGTGGGCATCTGCACTGAGCCTCATGCTCAGCGTTTGATTAAATTGTGTCAGTCCAACCCAAGCGAACCTAAAAAAGCCAGGTAAGTTCTGGAAGAGTGCAGATGAGTGAAGCAGAGATAACCTGTACCACAGGCGGAAAGAGAAGACTCTGAGCAATCCACATTCTGAACGATCGCACACTTGGACGCTAGACCTTCTGCTCAGATTCAGCCCAATGCAGCAAAGTTTGACTGTTGTGTGCTTAGCAATACACAATGGGTGGACAATGACCCAAAGCATACTTGAAAAGCAACTCAGGAGAAAGAAGGGGAATACTGCGTAAATGGCTGACTGAGAGTAACGGCCTGAAAAAGGATCATAAAAGAGGAAACCCAGTGCTGATGGAGTCATTGGTTCCATATTTTAGCCCCCAATTCTTCAATTGTGAATTAAATCATCTGATAATCTGCATTTCAACTGCATCCTGATTATTAATTTTCAAAATAAGGGTGGTGTATAGAGCCAAATTTGGTTTTAGCAGTAAATGGCTGTTAATGTCTGGGAGGAAGAGCTCAGGAGCTGGTGAGACTCCATGTGTCTTATGACTGTTAAATGACAGACTGTTCAGTGGAGGAAGGACCACCTGTCTAATCTGCATTTCAATAAAAAAAACGGCAAAAATGCAAAATTCAGCCATCGTACATGAGTAAATAAAGTATTAAAGACCAACCTGCTTAGCCAAAGAGCAGGCCTGCTCGGGCGAGTTGAGGATTTCGTAGTAGAAGACGGAGAAGTTGAGGGCTAGGCCCAGCCGGATGGGGTGTGTTGGCTGCATTTCCTTCTTGCTGATGTCGAAGGCATCCTGGTAGGCCATCTGAGAGTTCTCCACCGTATCTTCACAACACAAATGACCAGTTATCACGTGCTGTGTGAAAAGGTAAACAATCTTTTCCTTTTAAATATATCAGAGGTTCGTTCAGACTACTTACTCTTCTTTGACTCCCCAGAGGCCACCTCTGACAGGTATCTAAAGTAGTCTCCTTTCATTTTGAGGTAGAACACCTTGCTCTCCGCTTGAGATGCGTTGGGAATGAGGAATTTGTCGAGCAGGCTCTGAAACAGACAGATGACAAGTTTTTTTCCATTTTGCACTTATACATTACAGGTTGAGTATTACATAAAGACACACGAGTGGAAAAGTAAACAAACACCTTGAACATAGAGGGTTTTACTAATATTTCTCTGTCTATTTGCATTACGGCCTTTGCTAAAGCCAAACATGTGATGAATACAAACACCATTACCAACAGCTAAAGAATAAACACCCGAACCTCAATTACGCTCATTTAATTGACTCTCCCATCCTACACATTTAAATAATGGATGGAGGCAGTGCTTGTCGAATAGCTGAATAGCTTTAGAAATTCACTACCCCCATCCACACCTTTCAAATGCGGGATTACTGGTAACTGTATCTGACCATTTCCTGATGGCTACCTGTGCTTCTGCTGATCCCACCATTCCAGGTGTGTGTGTGTGTGTGTGTAGATAGATAAATTACTGCTAATGTTTGAAAACTGTAAAGCCTTCAATAAGTTTGACTTGTCTGAATACATCAAAAGGTCTACTTCTCTCAACACCAGTACTTTTGCTCATTTTTATCCAGTAGATTTATTTTAAGAACACTGCTATTCCTTAATATGCATGGTATATTACTGAGCTATGATGTTTTTCCCCACTAGCTGCTACTGCTACAAATGCAAATGTTCAAAGTGCTCAAAGTTTCCATGATGAGGTCAGTGTTTGGACAAGTAATCATGTGAGCCAAATGCTCAACTTCACTTTGGTTTTTTCCTCTCGCCTCTGTGTGATCTCAATAAAAGCGGCAATCTCCCACCCTCATACGATCGCTACCACTCTGGTAGTGAGTACAGAAGCCCCGCCCACCTGATGTTCAAACCTATTTATGAGGAGAAGCCAATCAGAATCAGGAGGAGGAGAGCTAGACCAGCTGGAGTCAAAAAGAAGAGGATGAAGTGAGGGGCTCTGCCAGTGTAACACGGATGGGGATTATTTTGAGCTGGAAATCCTGCAAAGCCATTCTACTAAAGCATGAGAAAAAAGAAAAGTGGAGCTAGATATGGGCATGGTGGGTGTAGTTAATTGTGTTTTCTGTATTATCACATATATAAGACTCCTCTGTGCGAAAGAAATAAAGCTGTTTCCCAGTGCCTTGGGCCACCTGCTTATTAATGTGTTCTTTGTCTGAAAAGAAGAGAAAGCCAGGTTTGCTGCTGGGGTGACACCAACTTCAAGCATGTGTGTCACGGTTCACACCACTGTTGCTGTCCTCATCTGATCGTTTAAAGAAGGGTTTTACTCTGACCATGTGATCAGCTCTCACTTTACCCCAGAGCCTCTTCCTCACTGAGGCCAGCTTTGTTTCAGTGATTACATTGAGTCTGTTTTAATCTGCTGACTCCAGTAACCTGTCCTGGGAATGTCATGTAGACATGATATAGGGGTGGTAGCCATTTTAACTTTAGTCACTTGCACTTGGCACTTTGACTTCTGAGCGAATACAGCGAGGAAATGCCTACATGTGATCCTGAGCTGAACTTCCGAGATGACAGAGCAACTAAAGAATGATTTGCATCTTTTAAGTGGTTCCTGTAAAAGGAAAAATTAGTCACAAAACAGAATTTAAAAGAAAAAGAAAAAAAAAAAGAGAGAAAGAAGCTGATTTTCCAGTTTTTCTTCTGGCGCTCCAACCAAAACTGAGCAGTGACTGTGGATAAGTTCAACATCAAAAACAGAATGAAGAACATGTAATTTTTTGCAAGCCTTTGGCCATCGATGACTTTGCACAAGGTTAGCGAGTGCTCTGTCTATTCCGCATTTCAAGTTTGCAGCACGCCTGTCCACCCCCCACAGCAGTTGCTAAAGCAGGTTACCTACGTTTTATTTTATCAATAAATACACATAATTTTAAAATGCAGAATTCATATTTCAGCTTACAACAAAACACTACTCTTAGAGAGCCAATATGATGCGATATGATGATCCACTGGTACGCTGTTCTAGGTCAGGGTTACTGACATATTTTTCCATCCCGTGAATGCATCAAAGCTCTCCCCTTCCAAGCTTCCTGCTGCTTTAAGGACAGCATGTCTCTACCCATCCTTTTCTCCCATCATTCCTACAGCACCACATCACTGCGGAGGCTTGAAGATGGTTTGACCTTGAAGATATTATTAGAAGTCTGCTCATGCGCTAAAAAATTTGAGCTGCTTTGACCTCGAGCAATTTATGTTCTAGCCCTGTCAGGACCTGACAGTGAGGCCTAAGTCATATTTATTGCTACAAGTGTTTAAAAACAAAAAAACAACTGTAATTTCTCACAACACTTTAATAGCTTCTTTAAAGTGACATTTGCACAGCTGAGTAAGGCCTTTATTTATACAGGAAGCTTCACCGAAAGTACTTTCCAGTTGAGGCAAAAGTATTAATGTTCCAAGTGTTTGAAAACGAAAACAAATGAGGATACTTGAAGCCTTTGAGGTCACTTCAGGTTCAGACACAATTACTGTATTTTCCTTCAGCCATCCTTTATCTGAAGTCTGCACTAACAATAAATTATGAGGTTGGAGTGTGATGGAAAACAACTCACTCTGGGCTGCTGAAACAACATCAGCAGTTGGCTTATACCCAATATATTGGGTTGATTCTTTTTGGTACAATTTCACAGGTCACTTTTGTTATTATAAATTATATTTAAGAAGTGGGACAAACCGTGATTTGAAAAAATAGATAAATTAATAAATGTTATTCCAATTCGTTTGCCTAAAAAGTAAAAGATGCTGGGAGGAAAAACAAATCCCTCTGGTGTTACATCAGGAAGGGCATCCAGTGTAAAAACTGCCAAATCAAACATGTGGAGCTACCTGCTGGGAGCAGCCAAAAGTATCTTCTGTGTTTGCTCTTTTACAGGCACCATGTGGACTGTCGTTCAACTGATTCACATTGTTCAGCTTGATGGTTTTGAACCAAAATGACCCAGAATTCGATAATTGTATTCATTGACATTATCACGAGGAAAATTTCCAGCATATATATTAGGGGTGCAACAATACTCATATCGATATTGAACCGTTCGATACAGTGCTTTCGGTTCGGTACTC